TGTGTTGGCAGCCAAACCCTATTTCTTTGTCCCGAACTACATGTAATGACCGCATAGGCCATTGTTTACACATTATTTCACTTTTAAGCACAGTGCCTTCAAATGTATGGCACCCAGTATGAGATAGGATACGACAATGTTTCCATTCTTTATTAAACCAAGGATTATTACAGTTTTGTATCTGTATGAAAAACGTACTCAAGAAATATGTGGGTTTTGATGGTACAAAGATTTAAACTCTTAAACAAATTCAGAAAGATACTGTCCCAGCAAGTTCTTCGGGCCATAGTGACTTCTGAATGAGTTCACGAAAAACATTTAAGATAATTATGTTGTCGTGGGAAGTTGTCAAGGAATGGCAGAGAAAGGGAATGGAAGGGGGTAGTGCCATATTTCTGACAGATTTAAATTCTGTAACAAATGTTTTTGCTGTAGTCATAAAACAATGAATGATTTGTGGAGATTGACCACTGTACACTCACGTAGAAGAAAAAATCAAGACGCGCTCGATTGTTTTACTGATTAACCGCCATTTATTCCTTATTTAGAAACTAAGCGATACTATTGCCTAAGAGTAAATATAAATTAAACAAGGAAATGGTAATTTAATGTTTCACGGCCCACAACTGGTAACTAAAGTGACACGCACATGGTTTACAGTATTCTTATCATGGCTGTAAGAGATGTCTGCGATGGTCACGTCAATGTGATTGATAGAGAAGGCTTGTCAGTAGAAGCATTGTGTCCATGAAGGAAATAACAGCCCGGAATGTGGAGGGTACAATGTTGGTACTAGGTTGTGGTTTGAGGACATGGAGAACGTGACGTGACCCTTCCTTCAACACAGGAGAGTTTGTGACGCAAGTTGCTTCATTTGTTTTCTCGAAAACGAGAGGGAAGGGAGGACTAATGTGATTATTCAGATATTAATATATCTTGATGACTAATATTGACATATCTTGAGTTCTTGCAGACTTTGAGACTTCTACACCATATAATTCCGATATAAAATTGACTCTCCAGCACCTTTGTCTCTTCTCTTTAGTTTTTTTTTCTTGCGTGTACTTGAAGATTTTATAGTGGTTGAGAAGAGGTGTAGAAGCATCTTCTTAGGTCTCTTTGCCTGGCATGTCAAAATCATTTAGAGAAGCTTAAAGAGGTGTACAGCGTCCATTTTCCCTTTTGACCACTGTTAACTATCAACTACGTGCTTCAACCGCGTGATATCAAGGACGATATCCTAGTTTACAAGAGCTAGACCCCTATATTAGCCAAATAATCAGCATATCTGTCGTGTGCATGCAGACAGTACTGTATATGGTTATTTGGTGCTCTCTGCCCCTGATCTACATATAGATGGCGTGGTAACCAGCACTTCAAGATGGACTCAACACGTGACGTCACAGGTCTGTGTTCTCCACACTGTCATTGATTTAACACATGCGTCCTGGAACTTAAGATGTCGCCTTATTACACAATGTCATAATACACACTGATGAGCAAAATTGCTCTCTTAATTTGGGATATTTCTGTTACACAGGGAATATCTAGTAACTTAATTAAGAAAATTTAAAGGGTATGAGCAATGTATTTGTTTCTGGTACGTGAACTCTCCGAGTCGGAGACTCAATGTCATCATTTGGACTAACTTGAAAGTTTGGGAATAGATTTTCAAATCTTTATTTGAAATCTTTATGTGACTAAAGTACACATAATGGTATGACAATAATACATTTGAAACAAGTCGTGTCCAGATTCATCAGATGGATTATAATCTGTGGTAATAATTGTAATTATAGAGGCTATATGTAGTCATAGAAGTGTACAGTGGTCTGAGTGTCAATGAACCCAATAGCCCCTCGTTACATTTTACAATAAATGTATCCGCATTCTAACTTTTTCATAAGTTCATTTTGTGTTCTGGTAATATCTGATTACCTCATCCTCTTTCTTCTTTATCTTTGCAATTCCAGTTTTTTTTTGTGTATTGCTGTAAGTCATGCTGCACTATATACTAATGTCTTTATCAAAATATGTTATTTAGTCCATCATTATTAATGTATGCTTAACCGCCAGTACAATGGGGCGATACATTCAAGTGATTAATCACTGTACATGTGTGTGTTATACAGTGTGTCAAAAGGCGCGACTGCATGTGAACAGAATATGAGAGTGAAATAAAAATTAAGGGCGAAAATTCGAAACACTTCACAAATTTGAGCTGAGCTTTCTTCGACAACGTTTTTTATTAAACACCACGGGTTTTTTGCCCTAGGTAATTTCGTGTTGATGTGTTGCGTGAATTTGCTTTTGATTGCATTTGAAAGTTTTTGAATTTAAGCTTGTGGGCAATTTTTCATCAACCCAATCAATAAGAATCAAGGGGAAAAGTTGCATTCTGTTTTTGATAACATTCTTCAGAGCATCGTGTTGACTGGTCAGTAACATAACATAGGCTTATTGAAATGTCTTGTGCCAGTGAGTCTCCATGTTAACCTTAGAGGAACAATTTCATCGTCTGATAACAATTTAAGTATTTACCACAAACGCTGATGAGAGAAAATTGAAGAGCTTTCACTTTCACAAGCTTGTCGCCGGGAGGGGGTAAGCGGGTTCCTTTGCCACATAAGAACTCTATATTGCCTGAAGAGGCTCACCTTTCAGCAACCTTTAAATCAATTTGTTAGGATATAAGTCATAGCAACGGTGAAAAATGAGAGACCTCATGTACAATACACAGTGTGAGGGGGTCGCAATTCACCACTGTTGAAATACCCATTTGAGTTTTCAGAACTTCTTATAAAATCCTTACTGACGGGCAGAGTTTTAGGCGAAATATTCAAATTATTATGTTACAATGTTTTTTATTGCTGCTCAGGGTTCTCTCTCTCTCTCTCTCTCTCTCTCTCTCTCTCTCTCTCTCTGTTGATATATGCAGCATCATGGTTGACAAAGATCAGTAAAACAATGGTCCAGTGTCTCTCCCCCATATTAGTGGAGGCCTCTCTTTCCGTCTCTCTGTTTCTCTCTATCACACACACACACACACACACACACACAAACACACACACACACAAACACACACAAACACACACACACACATATCCCCGCAGTGTACTTTTTAATAAAAATAATCATATTCATTTTATAGCGCAAAGTGCATTTATAAATCTAAATGTGATCGCCAGAAAAACATTGAAGATATCAAATTATATTATAAAGTCATTGTCAAGAACTAAAATGAAATTAAAATTTGGATGAAGTCGTAAAATTATAAAATTACATAAAAGTTGACAATGCCAAGGCAAGAAAAAATTTTGAACATGTCACAGATCAAGATCTGAGTTTTGGCAACTTGAGCTTCTGGGCACTTCGCAGCTTATAAAACTGTTCAGTCCTTGATGGTATAAGGTGATGGATTTTATTGTCACTATTTTTAAAACGTTTTTTTTTTTTTTTTTTTTTGTAGCATTCTTTTACACAACTCAGTGAAGCTACACTGTAGTGATGCGGTATTGATATTCGTAGTGCTCTGATATTAGTGTTTAAAGACCTCTCTCCTGACTGCTGTTGCCAAACTGGTTTCGTCATCTCCACGACTGACTCTGCATTCTAGATTGAGTTTGCTGTGCCACTGCTCCATATTCTGTTTCTGTCATGACAAACAAGCAGCTGTTCGGGTCGTGTGAGTTCGTGTAACACGTACGTTTGGGTGAACTTGTTAAGCAAAAGCCAGCATGGTCTCTTGGCAACTGTGGGTTCGCACACAAAAAAGCTCCAAGAAAATGTTGAACTTTTAAGATATTACAATGCATGTATAAATTGGCGCAGTTTTATAGCAGCACAACTATACAAATGGTCGGATTAATGCTATAAATCAGTTTTAGTTGTACAAAGGGTTAATAGTTAAGACGCATATACTGTTGCATAATCTGTCTGCACCACGTAATGCGTCTGTTAGACATCGGCACAGACAGAGTACCAAATTATGGGTGTATTAACATATGAAATAAAATATGACCGGAAGTGGTGGTTAATACAACACGTTGTTTATTACAGATATTTACATACGATATTGTATACGTATAAATTAACGTATAACAAGAAAAAGAACAGAGGATGCAATTATATTTGTTTTAAAAATTCATTTTTTTTTTTTTTTTTTTTTTTTTTTGCGCCAAGTCTTATTTTCCCCAGGAATTTTTTTTTCTGCTTAAAAATCAGTATCCGATGAATTCCTGCACTGGAATAGAATGTTTTATACCCTTTCAAATTCAGTTAAGTTGTCTAGCTAGACATCTGAATCTCCCTAATTTTCTTGACGTTTTAGAAAGAAATTGACATCAGGGACTTTTAGTTGAGAGGTTCAATCATTATAAAAGCTATTTAGAGAACAATAAGTAGTTTCGTAGCATATTTATACATCAAAATGTGACCTTAAGACAATTATAAACGCGTATAGTACATTTGTAATTTTAATCCTCTTAATCCTGTTTCAGATAATTGTTAAAGGTATCTTTCTGTTTCACTTTTTTTTTGTTCGTGATATCACTAGATCGTACCAATTAAGGCGATACAAGTGCAAGCCAATTAATAAGCCATGCATAGTTAGCATATCATAAAGGGGCTTTCGTTACCCTCCTTAATAAGCACTAAAATTTCAATTAAGTTTTTTATTTGATATGCCATTTGAGGCCTGATTCAGAACAACCATGTCTTTACTTCAGTAAGTCATTTTACCTTTAAAACACCCCAATCATTTCAAGAGGCGCTCATTATCACGTGACACAATAGTTTTGATTTTGGACTACATCATATTTTAAGAATTGGCATATGCGCTGCCAAAAAGCTCAACGCTGGCTGCGTACACATTTAATGATCAAACAATATCAGACATTTAAGGTGCACGTTTAAGAGAGTCCAACTCTCAATGAGCACACTGTGCATATGCATGATTGAAAGTCATTAAGAACAGGCTCCAGTCTTGATATATACCGAGGTATACTATACCCCATTGTATCCTGGACCAGGGAGAGAGGATGGAACACTAGTAGGAGGCTGGTACGTATATGGTGGCCTGAACAGCGCTTGAAAAATAGCGAAGAAATATGTGAAACACGGTGGTTCTTCTTACCACGTTCAGAAAAAAACGTGAGCAGATTTTACGCCATGGCGTCCATTGTATTTCATGGTACCCATTAGAGGTGAAGCAAAATCGAGTCTGTGTTTTTTTGGATTGCGTTTTCCACATTTTCTGTGCGTGTCTTCATCTCCTGGACGTTAAAAATATTTCTGTGTGCTAAGGACAGGTATTCATACAATGGAAGAGAATCTTAATCTAATTATCTTGGACGAAGAAGGCAAAGGACAAATATTTCAATCATGTTCTCTGGCTGCAAGCATTGGGAGTTTTTCTGAAGTGGAGTTTCTGCTTTGTGCGTTAATCAAAAGGATTACATCTGCCAGTGATCACATTTTCAATTGAAAATGTTATTGGAATCGACATACAAGTGGACGTAAAATCGATATATTTACTTAACAATATTCTTAATTTAAGGCGATTGCTGTGAGATATAATATCAACATAAAGCATATTTGTCGTTGTAACCGGTGGAAGCATTTTTACCCCACAAAATGAAAGCATTTGTTGCATGACCATCGCGAACCTGTTTCAAGCTCGACAATGTCTTTTAAAACATATAGAATCCCTTTGTTGTCTTACAGACACTGTCAAAAGCTATACTGTGACAGTGCGAAAGTCGCATGACATATATTATGTCACCTGATATGACCTGATACGTCTGTCTACTGTTAAACGGACCAAGTAATGCAAATTGTTTTACTAATTTTCTTTATCGAGCAGTATTTTCTCCATGCCTCATATTTCAAAAAGGGGTGTCTCGATACCTAAGTAGCCTGACCAAAATAACTGAAAACAACAAAAACAAGGTTTTGCAAATATGTTCGGTGCCAGTCCTTGCGAACGCTTGGAAAGGCATTGGTGCCACCTTCCTTCTCTTTAAAGTTCGGGGTTTGAAATTATTTGATGCTCAATATCAAATCCATTCATTTTCTTTTATTATTATTATTATTATTATTANTTAACAATATTCTTAATTTAAGGCGATTGCTGGGATATATAATATCAACATAAAGCATATTTGTCGTGGAAGCATTTTTACCCCACAAAATGAAAGCATTTGTTGCATGACCATCGCGAACCTGTTTCAAGCTCGACAATGTCTTTTAAAACATATAGAATCCCTTTGTTGTCTTACAGACACTGTCAAAAGCTATACTGTGACAGTGCGAAAGTCGCATGACATATATTATGTCACCTGATATGACCTGATACGTCTGTCTACTGTTAAACGGACCAAGTAATGCAAATTGTTTTACTAATTTTCTTTATCGAGCAGTATTTTCTCCATGCCTCATATTTCAAAAAGGGGTGTCTCGATACCTAAGTAGCCTGACCAAAATAACTGAAAACAACAAAAACAAGGTTTTGCAAATATGTTCGGTGCCAGTCCTTGCGAACGCTTGGAAAGGCATTGGTGCCACCTTCCTTCTCTTTAAAGTTCGGGGTTTGAAATTATTTGATGCTCAATATCAAATCCATTCATTTTCTTTTATTATTATTATTATTATTATTATTATTATTATTATTATTATTATTATTATTTATTTATTTATTTATTTATTTATTTATTTATTTATTTATTTTATTGGAGAATATCGTTTATTTCTATCTGTTAATGCAAGAGTAAAAAATGACTTTCACATCTTTGAATAGTTACCATTTGATAAGAGTATTCTCTGTCATTGACGAATATTATTACTTTCAACTTACATGCATGTTTATAGAAAATGATATCGCGCGCACGCACGCACGCACGCACACACACACACACACACACCTTTCCATGATCCAATATTTTGTAATGACATTTATGTACCTTATATTATTTCATTTCAGTTCCCACGGATACCAAAAATGCTACGATTCCTCCTAGCCAGCGCCTTGTGTGTGCTACTGTGCAGGCTGCAGGGAGGTAAGTCTGGCCCCGGTTTTATAGGAAAAAAACAACTTAAGTCAGGTACCCTGGCTAAGAACTTAATTACCAATGATACATGGTCAAATGCACACATTTTACTCTATCCAGAACAGCCTTACAGCACTCTCATGGTAATCACAGCCAACTACTTAACCAGAGAACTGTCTTAAGTTTTTTTTTTTTTTTTTTTTTTGTGTGTGAAACTAGGGCCTGGATTTTTTAACTGATTTTTAAAGATCAGGCTGCGGGGGCTGCTTTTCAATATATATATTGGCTAAAAGCAAGATATGATTATTAAAAAAACTTCTTAAATGAATATTTAAAATATTGGCCACAGCTGCCTTAATGCATAACCAATCCTCACAAAGTTTCGTTTATTTAAAAAAAAACTTGTATAAATGAACACAAAGATACCTTTGATAAGTGACTGCCATAAGACCAGTACCTTGCCGGCGAGCATAATTCTATTCTTTCCAAAAATAACGCGCGGTTAAATTGTTAATATTGACATTTCAACCATTGAAATTCCTTAGCTAGACTTGGTATAATATGTTTCTGTTCTAAACATGAGAGACGGGCATTTATGATAACAATCTATACAAACCCCATTGTTTGTTAGCAGGAGATAATGGTTGGTCTGTGTGTTGAACCCTACACCACGCTGTGATTGATTCTAAATGCACCCCGGTGACTCTACCATAAAACACAGGGGCTGTGAATGTCGCATTAAAAATATAAACAGTTTAATTTCTGACAAAGTGAGCCCTTAGAATGAATATAATGACAACAAGTTAAAGTGCACTTTCTGAATGGCATCCTTTCTAAGCAAACGCTCGTTTCTCATTAATTCAATGACAACTATGGCATCCTAATACCCCCGTGCTCGATGACAGCACAGTAGCATTGGTCTCTATTGTCTTAAGGGTACAATGACACGGTCCCTGTCGAAATGAACGCTTATGATAAATATAGTGACAACAATTGTAGTGGCACACACAGAGGTGTCTGTTTTATTAAGATTAAGCGACATCTTTGCTGCCAAAGTGGACGTATAAAACAAAGCCATGGACAGCAAATGGATTTTGTATATGTTCGTGTGTGTGGTAATGACAGAGCTCTGGTCATACAACCTGTCATATTAGGGCTCTAATGACAACATTCCTATGGATGATTATATGCATCTTAAAAAAGGGCCTATTATAGGGGCATTCTTAATGAAACAAAGAGTATTAAGGCGTTCAACAACAGTGTTTAAGTAAAATTTCACAATAGCCTAACAGTAGTGCTTAGTTCTAAAAATATGTCAACATTTGAACAATTGCCCATACCTTCACTGCTGTAAAAATCAATTTGTTTTCCCTGATTTCGATGGATATGTTAAATGCTGACAAACATGTTAACGTTGTCAAGTTTCCATCTAGTCACATAATTCAGCATTATATACAGTACCTGCTGCACTTGTATGCGTTTTTCTATTGCAAGTTAAGGTAAATTTTTAAGTAATCCACTTTGATTTGAAAAATAACAGCCGTTTGATAGAGACATGATAAAAACGTTCCACGTTTCGATAGCCGTGTACGCATGTATGTCATTCTTACACATACAAGGCTATCGAAATGATCTCCTTAGGCAATGGTGTTTACGAAGGCATTGACCGCTCCTAATTTGGGAAGACCCGAAGTTCTTAATGCATTTATTTTATTTTAAGATCTACCAAGGCTATGGATGGTTTACAATTAGAAAAGTATATCATCCAAGCAAATTAAACATATGCAGTGTCCACCTGTTGTCAACGAACACATGCAATTGCCGAGTAAACACTATGGTTCTTGTATAGAGGTTCCATTGTAATTTCGGTTTAGACTCTCTATTAGAAACGTGCCATTTAAATCTCAAGTTGCCATCTGATGTGTTGCTTACTTCACCAACACGACTTGACATTGTACGCTGTTCGAAAGCTGTGTCGATTATTGAAGCTGAACAGCAATGAAATACAACTTAAAATACCTCGATGTACATGTGGCTCTATACACGATGGTTTCTTCCATAGTGACACATTGTATTTGTGCCTATAACCATGACAAGGTACAGACCGCATCAATATAATCATGCATGTACGTTCCCCATGGAATATTTTTTATTTGAATATCTTTGTTTTGATATTGGGAAGTCGTTTGTGTGAGAGAAAGTGGATTAGGGATAATGCCCCGGGCTCAGTTCATCTTATGACAATTGTGAAATGAGAATTATACGTTGACATAATCATATTTTTAAAAGAAGAAAGTACGAGAAAATTGACAAACAATTGCATAACCTTATTCATCGACCATTGCTTTGACCAATTTTAATTTTTAGAAAAAATATTTATTTCATATAGTTATATGGCTTTAGTCCAATAAATGTCTACTTTTCCACCTCAGATTTTTCTTTCGCATAAAATACTAGTTTTGAACAGATGGGTCTATTTCAGCGTTTACATGATAACGCGTACATGCATTCAAAATGCAAGCAAATTTGAAAAGTAGCATTTCAAAATTAAAGTCAAAAACAGTTCCGTGTACAGGTCCCTAGGTATATTAAGCATATTGTTCTGGCTTGCCACATGACTCCAGTATCACTGTAATATATATATCACTGACTGTCATCCCGAGATGAGATAAAGAACCTTTGTTTTGTCACTTCATGACGGGGACAGCTTAGAAAGGTCGTTTTTGTTCCTCTCAACACTGTGGTCATATAAACTAGTAGACCCTGGTAAAAGTCAGACAGAAACGAGTAATGCAGCTTGTAAAAGTGAAGAGTACAGTAAGGGTTCATTTTGGCATTTGATTTGAGACAATAGACAGCAGTGTCCTACAATGTAAATATCCACTTGGATATTACGCTGTAATTTTCGCCAAGAATCGCTTTTTCATCCATATCCCTTTTTTATGATAATAATATGCATTAGCAATCAAAACTCGAATGGTCCATTTATACTACTAAAATGGTAATTCTTAGAAAGACATTGGATGTCAAAATTTTTTCTAAAGTTCATTTTCAAGATTTGCATTGGAATTGAGAATATTTGGTAAAATCAGAAAATTACTTAAAAGTTGACAATGCCCAAGGAAAAAGGCCCTCGAGTCTCTCATTGTTCTCAGTTTTGGCACTTTAAATATTTGGGCACTTCGTTTCTAATAAAATTGTTCGCACCGTATTTGTAAAAATAGGTTACTTTATGGGCGCCAAAAAGATACATGTACGAATTTCTTCGCTTGGTTATTGGATGTTATCAAGCCACGTAAAAGAGAGTACAAAATTGCAATATTTTATAATAATTTTATTCCCATAACATAATATCTTACAAAATACCATCGATGCATCTAAACGAAAAAGAAGCAATAGCACTTGGCATTGGGCCATGATCTTTCCGTCAATTTTAAACCATTCATCAGTTTAATATTCCAAAGGTAAACGACTCTGATCTGGAACTAGCGTCGGAACAATAGATCTCCAGACACTATAGACATAAGTAGGTGTTTGGTCAATGATAAAATCCAGTCTCTAATCTTGATATCGCGACATCAGAGACAGGTGGTTTGGATATCTTCTGACCATCGGTGAGAAGAGACATTGTCTAAATGGTTGGTTCCGGTAGGTTTCACAATCGAATCTGAACAGTTTAATGGGCAGCACCATTCACTTGGTGCATTGCCATCTGATTTATTCTAAGTTGATAGTAGTAATTGTAGAATGCTAGACACATCAAAATATATCTTAAAATGAATCTCCAAGAGATGCATACCTGAAAAACCACAAAATTCATATTTCATTCGGGTGAATAAGATTCCCCAACGATAGAAATCTTTTTCGAGACCTATGTTGTCATTTAAAGCAATTTAGGTGTCTATGTGGTTTGTGGTTAAGTCTGAACTAAACTGTTTTTAATTGATGCAATAAACATTCACTCTTCGACATATCGACAATGTAAGAGACATATAATAATAATAATAATAATAATAATAATAATAATAATAATAAAAATAATAGTAATGTATATGGTAAGTCTTAAATCCAAATCTCTAAAGTAGATTTCACCGTGCAACGTGAAATGACAATAAAAGGCTGGTAAAAGAAAAGGAAAGTTTGAATTTAATCAGGAGAGTAGTGTATAAATGCAAATGTTACTTCAGCACTCTCTTAAGTAGTCGTTTATAAAAATTCTACATTTTTTTAATAATAAGTCTTGAGTTTTCTTTTAAAAGTAGCTGGAACGTCTATCCTACCTAGTAGTAAAAGTGGAAGTAATTTCCGTTACCTTGGTGCAACTACTTTAAACAATTGGTCACCATATGGGTGTTAGGAGTAAATGGTCGGCAGAGCGTAACTGGCGAGGGTCGGGATCGCAACGTTGATACAAGGGCTAAGTTGTTACAAAAAATATTGCATTGAATATATGGGAGAAAAAAGTTTCACATTGAAAATTACGTTATTTATATATCTACATTGTGGAAAAAGAAAACTATCTATGAGATTACATTTTTATGTGCCTGTAGCATGCCACAAACCCTTAATAGCTGGCTAGTAATGGCTAGTATTATTATTTTAAAAACATATCATTTGTTGAGTGCAATTACTGAAATCGGCCGCACGATCAAACTTGTACTTTCTCATTATTTTGGTCTAGGAACCAGAATGCCTCAGCTGCACGTATACTTTAAGCCTTCAGCTGTCCATCGTCCACCCACCAACCCTCACCTCGTGCATCTTACGCCGCCATGTTCCCGTATAAAATAAGAATATTAGGCCTATTTATGTGCCGCGAAAATGTCTTTCGAAAATAGGTCTTTTCTAACATTCGCTTGCGATTCTTCGGTCCATGCGTGTCTCAATGCCCCAGTGTGTGTTTTATTTGTGCATCAAGACACATAACTAGCTGAATGAATATTTCTATTATTACATCCTGATGTAGGGCCGTTGATGGATGTTATAAGAAAATGGCGACACTGAAAACTTTTCCCTTTTATGTATTCGTTTATTGATAAATGCAATTAATATAATGTAATTGTATTAATTTCATTATATCAATTGTATAATATAATATAATATAATATATTAAATATAATATAATATAATATAATATAATATAATATAATATAATATAATATAATATAATATAATATAATATAATAGTTGTCCAGAATACCAGGTACAGTACATTGTACCAGCCCTAAGGTATCTTAATGCGTCTCTTCAGTGCTTTATCAACAGATTACAATGTATTTTTCAGGCGAGAGCAATGTATGGTATGAGGAGAAATGTCCCACGGTGGAGAAGGTGACCACGCTGCCGCCATTGATATCTCCAGCATACCTAAGAAAGGTTCTTAACAAACTGAATGCCAGCACCATCCTGGCTGCCGCGGCTGAGGCCAGAGAAAGGCTGCTCCAGGAAGAGAACACGCAGAGGAGAATGCGCAATGGAGGTGAGTTTTAAGCCTTTAGAGAGAACACGCAAGCAGGGGCTGGCGAAAGCCGACTTCTGGATCTTCCTGAAGACGGTCTGAATATTTTTTTGAGTTTACACTGACGGGCATGTTTTTTTCTGTCAGAGAACGGTCAAAAATAAAGGACAGTTCAATAAAAGATTATTTAAAAGACTGGCAGAAAATATCGCTGGATCCGCCCCTGCGCAAGAATGACTTCCCTAAATAGATCGAAGGGCGTTGATTAAGGGTGTGATAGGTGTGGGTGACTGGATTAACATTAGAGAAGTTTTACTTCGCAGTGACCGACATAACCATGTGAAAATTACCGAATTCCTGACGTCTGTCGTTCTACCCCAGGTGTGTCAAGCAAACGTGCTGTTATTAAAGTGTCCTGACAGGTTGAAGGTTTGAATGACGGTCTTAATCCAGGAACGTGCGTCCTTGCACTTCTGCGGTTTTCAAATGTTTTTTCTGTCATTTTACCAATATACCACACACTAAAGACCATTGTACATGGCATAGGTCTGTTTGAAATCAAATTACTTTAAAATCAAGTAATGAGATTCCAGTTGTACGCTTCTGTACAATGTTTCAGTCAAATGTGTTGTATGTGGTGCTGAACAACTTGGTAACTAGTCGGAACCATCAGAACAATGCGGCCAACGGGAGAAATTCTACTAAAGCCGAAAGAACAAAAATGAAATAATTTTGTTTGGATATTGCAGCAACAATTTTGTGGTCAATTTTTAAGCACTTAAGTCACATGTATTTCGTACTAATTTTATGGTTTACTTCATGCCCCTTTAATGTTTATTCCTTATTATTAGTTTTGAATAAGTTTTAGTATATTAATGGGTTTGGAATCTATGTACAATATTTGTAAGCGGGGCGGTGTTTTTTTCATGTTGTTGTTGGTGGTGGTGCATCTTTAGTTACGCAATATATAGAGGTTCTCTTTCATAAATGACGTACAGGATGGAATGGGCAAAAATGTCCAATACTAACATGTATTGAACTAGCACCATGTAAATACACCCGGCCCCGTCTTCCAGGTAT